TTCTCTCCACCTGTGAGGACACCAATCCTCGACAGTAAACAACACTTTCTCACTTCACCAAGGTGGATGTCCACCACTCTATTTCAGTTCCGTGTCGATTCGAACTGCCTCCTGATGCCTTCTCCCGTACAGCTCCCCTCAACATTAAGGACACATCAAGTGATAAAGGAGTGGTATGCAATACATCGTTGAGACCAGGGTAGGACTAAACCAACAACACTCCTCCTCAATAGGTACTCGACCACTCACAATCAATCTCCTCCCATTATCATTTCCCATCTCCATCTTCTCATCCTCCGGCGTGATGTAGGGTACACAAGGCCCCTGGAAAGCGGCCGTCTCGTGCGTTTGGGGTATCGCCAAGTTCAACCTGTACAAGGGTTAAGCAGGAGTATCCGAAATCTCAGCACTACACCGGCAGAATCATCGGTTTATGACCATCAGAGTTAGCTGAGATGATTTCCTCAACTTTATCGAGCTGAAACGAGTTTAGCTCAGCCGACTGGAACTGTGCTTTGAATCGTACTTCTTTCGATGAGCATACGACAGCGATGACGACATCAACAACATTGAGTAGCCACTTGATGATGGTGTTCTGGCCAGCATCCTTCTCCCGATCGGAGGCATTTCGACGATCACGACCAGCACCATTATTCGACAAATCCTTCTTTTCCATGGCGAGCAAGTTGACGCCTATAGGATCTAGAACCTGATGACAGGCAAAGGAAAGGAGCGCTATTGATAATCGTTGGTTCAGCGCTATTGATAATCGTTGGTTCAGCGCTGTTGATAATCGTTGGTTCAGCGCCGTTGATAATCGTTGGTTAATCGCTGTTGATAATCGTTGGTTCAGCGCTGTCTATAATCGTTGGTTCAGCACTGTTGATAATCGTTGGTTCAGCGCTGTTGATAATCGTCGGTTCAGCGTTGTCTATAATCGTTGGTTCAGCACTGTTGATAATCGTTGGTTCAGCACTGTTCATAATCGTTGGTTCAGCGCTGTTGATAATCGTTGGTTCAGCACTGTCTATAATCGTTGGTTCAGCGCTGTTGATAATCGTTGGTTCAACCCAAGCTATGAATACAGGTAGAATTATAGTGACACTTTCTGGAATTTTTAGTGACCAGTGACGTTTTCCCATCACTTACAATAATGCGATCCAGTGTAAGCCAAGCATCGACTCCACTGCTCTTCCCATTCGTCGATCGTGCTCTACCATGCGAGTATTCATAAGGAGGCATTCTTGTGTTCGTTGGGCCACTAAGGTGCTTCAAAATAGTACCTACCACACCATCGTCAAATCACCCACATGAAGAGGTACTTACTCTTCCCTGCTCCGCAATGCAGACTGAGGGCAGTTACAACGAGGAAGTTGCGGTTCTTCGTGAGACTCTTCTCGATGGGAGATGTGAATTTGAACTCAACCTACCATAGG